TTATCAAATATATATTTATAATTTTTTCTCACAATCAATATTTTTTTCTTTATAAAAGATTGAACAATTAGAGTTTTGTCACAAAAATTTGACATGATAAAATTTTAAAATAAAATATAAAAAAATCTTTCATGATATATCACATGTGTAAATTTTAAATTTCATACTAAAATAATATATAATTTTAAGAATATATGTAATTATACATAAGATATTGACTTTCTTATTGAGATTTGTATAAAATTTTATTTTTATAATTCAAAACTTTCATAATATTTATTTAAATTTTTTTATAATAATGTATATATAGACGATTTTTGAATTTTAAATTATAAATTATAGATAATTAGAAATAATTTTTTTTATTTATATATAATATAAAAATTAATATGAATTAAAAATTTAAATTATGAGACATATATTAAAATTCCGTATATTGTATGGATAAAAAAACTAGTGAACTAATTAATTTAATTAACTAGTAGCCAAATTTCACATCATGATGTGGATGCTGGATGCCTATGGTTTGGACTGCGTTGTCTTTGTCCAAAAAAAAAAAGTTGGTCTAGGTGATTCAAGTTCGGCATTTATGAGGTAATTGTTTTATAGTTACAGTTGGCAGCAGGGTGGGGCGGTCAGATTTTTGTTTTTTTTTTGTCTCTAATTCGAAGCTTCAATAATTTTATCTAATATTTGACCCACTTTCACTTATAGGTTTTAATTGAAAATTCAATCTTAACCCGTTAAGAATATTATTTCTTCAAATTTAATCCGATTTAATTCGAATTTAATCTATTATTAATTTAAATTTATTAAAAATTTAATAAATCATAATCTAAAAATATAACAACCAATAACAAATTTAACCAATTTTTAATTAAAAAAATTTATTTAAGGTATTTTTAGTCAAAAAATATATTAAATAATTCTTTAAAAAAATTAAATGAGATTATTCAACACTTTTGTGGTAAAAAGAGCCTTCAATAATCTCTTTCAATTTTTATGAGGGATTATTGAAAGCATTTATGGTAAAAAATACTTTAAATAATTTTTAAACCTTAAATTCTAAACCCTAAACTCATAAAAATTTAAAAAAATTATTCAAAGCATTTTTATCCAAAAAACACTTTAAATAATCTCTTACAAAAAAATGAATAGGATTATTGAAAGCGTTTCTGATAAAAAATACCTTGAATAATTTTTAAACTCATATAAAAAGATTATTCAAGATATTTTTGTCTAAAAAACGTCTTCAATGATCTCTTACAAAATATTGAATGGGGTTATTAAAAGTGTTTCTGGCTAAAAAACTTTGAATAATCCCCTCCAAGGTTATTCAAGATGTTTCTATTAAAAACATCTTGAATAATCCTCTATCATCTTTTTTTTTTTTAAATATTTAAAGTATTTTTTTACCAAAAATACCTTCAATAATTCACTTCAAAATTTCTAAGGTGATTATTCAATGCATTTTTTGTTAAAAATGCTTTCAATAACTCTAATAAAATTTTTGTAGGAGATTATTCAAAACATTTTATAGACAAAAACGTATTGAATAATCTCCAATAAAAGAATTGGACAGGATTATTTAAGGCGTTTTTGACTAGAAATGACTTAAATAACTCCATTAAATTTTTTGTAAGGAATTATTCAATATGTTTTTGACTAAAAACACCTTAAATAATCTTAAAAAAATGACAATGGATTATTGAATGTATTGAATAATCTCTCACAAAAAATTTAATAGAGGTTATTCAAAGCGTTTTTGTCAAAAAAACGCTTTCAATAATCTTCTTATAAAAATTTTTAATGATTATTCAAAGTATTTTTGACTAAAAATGCATTGAATAACTCCATTCAATTTTTTTGTAAGAGATTATTGAAGATTTTTTTCATGTCAAACGTCATCTATAAATCAAATTTTTTATCAATAGAAACGTACAACTGACTTGCATTTGTTTCCAAACATGATTTTCAAAATGATAACAGTTATTTCATAATTTTTTAGTCAAGTCAAATTTGAAAATAACACTATTTTTTTCTTAGAATCATAGAATACTACAGGGAAAAGTGAGTTTTTTATTTCGAAACTTTAGGTATTGTTGAAAATCTATAAGTTTTTCACAAAATCAGATTATCTTGAACTAGTTAGAATCAAATACTTAACAGTAAGATTTCAAGAAAAAATGTATAGATTCTCCCAAATCAAACGTTCTATTAGTAAATTAAAACTCACAAATTCTCACCATAAATGATAAAATTATGAAATATATAAAACTTAATAAACTAAAATTTAAACATAAAATAAGCATAAGTTAATAACTAAACATAATATATGATATAAAATAAATATCAATGGTATTTTGGTAAATACTTTGGGTCGAGTTTCATATAAACCTGACCTTGACCCGAAACTGCTATTCAAAAATATAAAACCAACCTGATCCAACCCGACATAAAACTTATTTTTTCAAAAAAAAAAATTTGATCTTAGATGATTAGATCGAATCGGATCGAAACCTAACGATTTTGGATTGATTTGCTATCTCTATTTATGGCCACTTAGATGTGCAAGAGTTGGAACCGGATTAGATTAAGCTAATTAATATTTTCATGTTTTTGTTTAAAGTTCGGCTTATCTATTTAAGTTCATTAAATTTGTTGGTTAATTAAAATAATATTAAAATATTAAAAATTATATTAATATTAATGTTTTTAAATATATTTTAAAATTGCATTTAAATAAAAAAATTTTCAATAATATAATAATTCAAACATACTTAAAAATTCTTATCTAACGCCCGATCATCTGATCCAATTTATAGGCTTGAGCAAGTAGTTTGATTCATGGACATATCTATTCGTCTGAGGTGGTAATGGTACCGTCCAATATTTATTTGAAAGGGGCATTTTGATTATTTAGATTGAGAATAAAATTGATTAAGTTGAAATTGAATTCAAAAAATTCTTTCAATTCATTTAAATTTGATTTAATTCGATTTATCGTGAAAAGTTAACAATTCAAAATTTTTAAATTCAGACTCCAATTATATATTTTTTATTCATTGAGTAAGGGATAGAAATAAAAATGGTGAAATTTAAACTTTTACCTTACATATTTTTTTAAAATTTATTAATTACTAAATTAAAAAACTGAAGACAAGTCCAAAATCATTTGAAATTTTTAAAAGATTAAATTAAAATAACGTTAAATTTAAATCGTTTAATTTAAAACTTTATAATTTAAACCAATGTTATCGATATATCAGCTAGTTTGTATTGATTTTAAGGAAAATCGATCCGTTTAGATGCCCGGCTCATTAACTCTGATAATATGTACTAGTTAAAGTGGGTTTTTTTTTTTTTTTTGAAAGAAGCACTAAGACTAGAATTTAATATATAATATTTACTATTAAATTTTCTAAATCAGGTCAAGATAGGTAACACAAATATAAATAAGTTTGTTTAGATTCGATTTAACTTAAAATACAAGTTTCATTTTGTTGCATAAATTTAAGCCATTTTAAAAAGATTATATATGACTTCCTTATATTTTAATTTATTATACATTAAAAAATAAAAATAATTTTTACGATAAATATTAATTATTATGATAAAATAAATAATTAATAAAATAAAACTTAAAAAATATTTTGTTAATTTAATTTGGTATTTGAATGTTGTTAATATTAATATATATATATATAAATATAAGATATAAATGTATACATTATTTATTTATTTTATAATATAAATATAAATATAAATATAAAATATAATAATTATTTAGATTGAATCAAACTTGAACTTTCAATTTTATGTTCAAGGCCTAGGTCGTTTTTTAAACTGACTCAAAATTTAAGCTTAAACCTATTTAATGATCCTAAAATTCATATCCAAGCTTCTCTGAAATTTTAAGCTCAGTTTAACCCTTAAAAAAGTATAAATTTCGTGGAATCCCGCCCACCTGTGATTTTGATTAATGAATTTCATGAAGGGGAAATTTTTCCACAAATGGAAATTGGTTAGAAGAGATAGATGGGGAGGATTGAGAACCTAAAAGGCCTAAATGCTGATAGATGTAGGCTCCATGGACCCAAAGACCAAACTTTGAATCACCAATACTACCATTAAAGACCAATTCCTTAATGGGGAATTACCAGTTTCATAATTCATTCTCCACTGCCATAATGGAGAAACAAAGAACGGGAAAAAGGGAAAATTCATTTCATTCTATATGTATATATATTTCAGTAAGTCATTTTCATATCAAAAGAAAATCAACTAAGAGTGACACTCACGTGCTGAACGCTGACTGATCATCATCTCATCGTTGTGGGTTTCAGGTTTTATTAAGATTTTTTTTCCTATGAGCTCTAGGCCAGAGGGCTGGGCCATGTGCCTCTGCCTTTGACCTCAACATAACGGGGCAATTGTATTCCTAGACCAAAACAAAGGATGGACCTGCATGATTGAGTTCGTTGAGCCTGCAATTTTTCTATATTTTTCATCTTGTCCCCGTCAACATGAGCTATCTTTTTGTTCTTACTAACTAATACTTATTTAATCTCTACCAGCTTTATTTCTTTTTTTTTTTTTTTTCTATTTCTTAGTAATAATATGATAATAAATAAGAAATAATTATTAGGAAGACCCAACTCGTAGGCAAAGTCAGACTTGGGGGAGGGGGATAAGGCCAGGCCAGCCCCCAAAGTGCGGTTGAGAAAATAATGAAGGCAAAGAAAAGATTCATTAGATGGTGAAGGTATCCCTTTCTTTATCTTGAAATGTGAAAGGTTTGAATGCAAAGCAAGCTCTCTCTCTCTCTTTTTAAAAGTATTCTACGTTAGTCCTGTCCACCAAATTCCATTATTCCTTCAACAAATCAAAAAACCACTCCACCACAAAAGGCCAATCCTTTTTATCATTCTTGCTCCCCCCCCCCCCCCCCCCCTTTTGTTTTTCCTCTTTTATCTCTTAACACAAAAAGGGGAGAATCAATGTTGCAAAAACAGCCCAGTAAATCATCTTTTAGGGAATCTCTCAAAGCTCTTGAAGCTGATATTCAGCATGCTAATAGCCTGTAAGTCTTTCTTTTTTTTTTTTTATGGAGTTGCAATTACAAATTCATAACCTTTATCCACAATTGACATATTGTGGATCATCAAGTCGATTTCTTTACAAGCCATTTGCATTCTTGGTTTGTCCTGAAATGCTGAAAACTGTTTTTCTTTCTGCCTAGTTTCTGTTTCTGGGCATTCCACTTGCCTGCTAATATCTGTTTAGATATGATGCTTTGGTTGAATTTTATTATCGAAAGGCCAACTCTATTGAAGTTGGATATCACTTCTGGTTTGTGGAGATAGGTATCTTTAATAGATGTTGATGTAGACTAGTTCTTGTTGATAGTTCCAGTGGGAAGGAACAGGATTGCTTTGGCTTTTGGTATCAGCATTTTACCTCGAAGAATTCTGTTATTCATTACTTGTTTTTATTAAGGTCTTTACGGTTAGCCATCAAGAGTATTGTCGTCTATCCGTATCTGCCTTTTTCTCTAAGCACATATAGAACATGAAAATTGTACTGTCACAATTCGTGTCACATGTCAAACACAAATAACTTTTTTTTACCGAAACCAGATTTGATTTTTGCTAAAATTTTATACAGTTTGGCTTTTGTTTCATTTTTCATATCGTCTTGTCGTTTTCATATTAAGTTGTTGTATCGTATTTAAAATTGCCGGTCTAAATAAGAGCTTTTTAATGTAAATTTTGGTTGTGATTTTTTGGTGTAAAATTTGCAGGGCAGCTGCTCTCCCAAGAGATTATGGTGGGAATTATTACCAAATGAGATTATCTTATAGCCCTTTTGCACCCTTCATTCTGTTTTTGATTGAATGGATGGATTATAGTTGTACAGATACCCTTCCTAGTTATTTAGGCCTTCTCCACATTCTTGTATACAAGGTGAGTTAGTATTCTGTTTCAGCCTGTTTTTTCAGTTTGCAACATTTTAAGCAGAAAAAGGAATTAATTCATTGAGGTTTTATTTTTATTTTTGTCAATTTGAGTTTTGAGTTTGTTATTTAAACAAAGTTCCATGATGCTGCCCAGGCATATGTTGATGGAATGCCGGCTTTATCTTCCAAAGATCGAAAAGCCACTCTAAGGGAATTTTATGGTATGTTTTCTCTGGTGTTTCTTGATAACAGAATTCCAATTTGGTTTTTCAGCTTTCATTTTACTTCCTCATGTTCCACTGCACTTTCTGGACACCATTTGCAGCTGTTATCTACCCTTTGCTCAGACAACTTGGGGATGAGTTCATTGAATTGGAAGATAATAAGAAAGGCCGAAGTACAGAAGTATTGAGTAGAAAGAGAGTTGAAGACCGCACGAGGGTCTCTGATAAAGATTTAGAGAGAGATGATGAATGTGGAATATGCATGGAGAATTGCACAAAGATGGTTCTGCCTAACTGTGGGCATGCCTTATGCATAAGCTGCTTCCATGACTGGTATCCCTGGTTCCCCATTTTGCTTTTCATTTTGTTTTTTCTTAGATTATTTATGATTAAACATTTTACTTAACCTTGATTGTTGATTCTAATATTCCTATTGATTTGGAATTGCAGGAATGTCCGTTCTCAATCCTGTCCTTTCTGTCGTGGTAGTTTAAAGAGAGTGAGTTCTAAAGATCTGTGGGTTCTCATAAGTGGCAATGATATAATTGACATGGTTACTCTTGCAAAAGAGAAATTGTGGCGCCTATGCCTCTACATTGAAAGCCTGCCTTTTGTAATGCCTGATACACATCCATATGTATCTGATTACATGATCTGACAACGAAGTGAAGACTGTAGTATTAAACCACAGAAAGAAAAAGCTATCGTTCCACATTGTACATACAACTTGGTATGAAGAAGCCTGAGCTTATCTATTGAACTCTTGACCGCCTGTTCAATGGCAGCTGTATATAGTAATTAACTGAGCTGCTGCCTACATGTCACGAGGATTTCGGAAGTAGGAAGCAGGTTACTTTGAAGATTGGTGAAATTTGGTATAGAACAGCCTGGATAAAAGCAGTGAGGCAGGGATTACAAATCTGAATACATATATTTAGCAAGATAATAGATGCAAACTAAAAATAAACAGGTATTCTTGGCATTCAACTCAGCTTTTTAAGAACCTGAGTGTTGGAATGGAAACATAAAGACTATCACATGGAATCTTCAGTTTCTGCTTACTGTCATCTGATCTATGATGAATATCATGGATCAAATTAATCTTTCTTGGAACTGGCTCCTCATCAATGAATTCCTATAATAAAAATTGCCTCTGAATCTGACTGGATTGATCTATCATAATTTCTTAACTTTAATAACAACTTGCATCCTTAAAAGTACTTTGATTGTTAGATAATTATGAATCCAGGTTTCCGAGTTAAGATTTTGCGGGTGTCAATTTTGTTAAAGTGAATTAATCAACAGTTACCTACACTTTAACAGCAAGTAAAAGCTAATGCTTATAATGTAATCTCTGTTGTTCTACACTTCTTTTATACTGTCAATTTTACGTTACTTTGCCTGCATCTCCAAGATACCGCTGAGAACTGCATTATGTACTTGCTTTGATTCTATGTAACTCTTACGGATGTAAGAAATGAGTTTCCTCCCAGAAGACATCACAATAAGCATAGTCTATGGTAACTTATTTTAACTTGGGAAATTGCCAAACGCCAACCTTGCTATTGTTAAGAAACAAGCCAAGTTCAAGCATGTGTCACTGCCTGAGACTCAAGTTCTAGCCCTTGGATTGGACTCATCTACGCTTTGTGACACATTTAAATGCTGGACTAGAGTGAATTCCCCAAAGCCATATTTTCATCTATTTTAGAAGATATGTTTCAAGTAACTAATACTTTTTTAATGAAATTATGTTCAATTAATAGTTCTTATAGGTTACTGATCAATATTTAGCAAGTTTTACAGCCATTAATCATCTTCTGAATTCCAAAAATAATAATAGTGATCTACTTAAATATCCCTATAAATTTTTAAATTAATAAATTTATCTTTAAATATATAATTTTTATTAATTTGTATAAATTTAATTTAAATAAACTAAAATTAAAAAATAGAGTTTATGAGAAATTAAACTATTTAAAATTTTAAAATATTAATTCTAAAAATGTAAAAATAATTGACTAAAATATTTTTAGTAAATATTTTTATAAACTTTAATTTAAATAAATTTTTTTATTGTTAGACTTTTTTTATAATTAGACTAAAAAATGTTAAAGTGATTGACTAAACCCTTAATAAAATTTTAATTTCAAAAATATTAAAAGTGATTGATTAAAATACCATTAGTAATTTTTTTATAAATTTTAATTTAAATGACTTTATTTTTATTATTAAACTTCTTTTTTTAGTAAGTAGAATGATTTTTCACATCAAATGAAAATACAAATAGAACAATATCAAAGGTTAATGAGTATGAGAATAAAACAATTATATAAAATTTGCTTCTTTAGTTGTTGTAAAAACAATTGTATATGCAGAATATGTTGATAACTAAATTCATTAAAAATAATCACAATTAAGTCATTTAAGCATTTTTGTTTTTTTGTTCTATTTTTTGTCTTTCAATTTTTTATGTTAATATATTAACTCCATATATATGATAATAATTTTATTATTTATATATTTTATGAGTTGATCATTTTATCATTGATAACATAATTAAATCTTTTTATTCCCTTGAAATAATTCTTTAATATATCATTCTTGCATTTTAGTATGATCTTTATAATTAATTTCTCTTTCGTATTTTTTCTTTAGAATTTTATAATTATTATTCTCATAAACAAAAATAAATATCATATCAAATGCAAATCAATTGTACCCTTCACCAACAAGTAACACTATGTGATTCATTAAACACTTTAATTAGACTTTTCATATGTAAAATTAGATTATTTAGAAGATGACGGAGCTACCAATAGCTTAGGATTGAATTCTATCAAATTGCTATAATAATTGTTCACTTTGATTGAAACAATAATTAATTTAATTTTCTCTTAACTTTTATCTTATATTGTATATGATTAATTTATATCTCAAGATTATCTAATCTTTCTCAATTATATTAAATTGCTTTTTTTTTGTCATCCAAGTGGTTGAATGATCTAATGTGAATTATTTTAAATAAAAAATTATCAAGTGAAGTAAAATTAATTATTTTTAGTGAAATACTTTAAAGGGTGACAAAATTCATTAAAATTATCTTTTAAATGTGTTTATACTAAAATTACATTCATTCATGAAAATTTATGTTGTTAATACTAAAAAATCATTATAAATTATATAAGTATTATATAACAAGTTTGTTTTTCTTAAAATTAAAATTTTCTTAATAAAACATGACAAGTACCGAGATTATGAATTTATTTTATTTTATTTTTTTTAAATTATGTATTTTAATATCTTTATAAGATACAAATTTTTGTATAATAATTTTTTTTAAATAAATGAAAAATTAGGCTTTTAATTGATAGAATGTACAATTATATTCAATTGATGGAAGCATCAATGGAAAATTATTATAAATAGAAAAATGAGATGAAAGTTTGATTAGTTATGCATAACTCTATTTTTTTCCATATGATAAAGAAGGTTAATGCTATATAATATTCAATGAAAAATATACAAATGTATTGGTTTCAAATTTATTTAGGATTAATATGAAACTCTTTTATTTGGAAAAACATTGTATACTCATTTATTTTCTCTTTTATGTCAATTGAAAAATATTTATTGCTATATTAAAATTTTTAAAATTATCATATTAGGTAATATTTGTTCAAAAGAATTGAAATTCATTGAATTAATTACCACTATTACATTTAATATAAAAATATTATTATAAATTATAATTTAACTAAACTTAAAAGTGATTTAAAAACATTCATTAGCAAAATTCATTTGATAAATTTTTATTTAATTGTATATTTAGTATTTCAATCATTTTGAATTTTAACTTTCATAATTTCAAGTTGGATTTTAGATTTAGAATCAGCTACCAATTAAGTTGAGTTAAGTTTTATCCTCTACTTTTATTCATAGTGTATTTAATTATTTACTTGTGCAACTGAGCAAATTTGACTTAATAATTGGTGCATGATTCTCTTTATTTAAAAAACTAGATTCAAATCATCCTAAATCCAAATGAAAAAAATATACTTAATTACCTATAATTATAATTTCATTTTAGAAATACTTTTAAAATTAATTAACTAATTCAACCACAAAGATAATAAAAATAAGACATTAAAGATGAAGGAAAGAAACTTAAATAAAAAACTTTTAAATTATTATAAGAGATGAATAAGAAATATTAGATTTTGATTGAGTTACTATTTCAATTACGATTTTAATTATGATTAATCATTTTAGGTTTTAAACAACTATTAAGTTGTCTTTTAAAATTAATTAAAATCGAGTTAAGTTAGTTGATATTTATAATAATGTGTATTATACTATTTTTAATTAAATTAAAATTTAAATTGAATAAAAATTTTATTTATACTCAATTTGAGTTTTCAATTGTTTAAAGTTTGAGTTGATTAATCTATGTTATTTTAGTTATACTTTTATGTCCTTGGTAATAAATTTTCAAATAGAATGAGAACACAATATAATAAAAATTTAAATGAAAAAATGATGGAGATGCTAATAATAATTCTAGAAGAAAATCTTTATATCCAAGTCCTACATAAATTAAAAGATAAATCTTTTTTTGAGGATTTTGAAATTTATACTACAAAAATGTTAATATAGATCAACGAGTTTATAATCGTTCATTTATTGATTAATTTGTTGTTATATGGGTTGAGGGAAATAATTCAAACAATTCAATCATTTCATTTGAAAGAAATATTCATCCTAAATCCAGATGAAAAAAAATATACTCAATTACTTATAATTATAATTTCATTTTAGAAATACTTACAAAATTAATTAACTAATTCAAACACAAAGATAATAAAAATAAGACATTAAAGATGAAGCAAAAAAACTTAAATAAAAAACTTTTAAATTGTTATAAAAGATGAATAAGAAATATTAGAGTTTGATTGAGTTACTATTTCAATTAAGATTTTAGTTATGATCAATCATTTCGGGTTTTAAATAACTATGAAGTTGTCTTTTAAAATTAATTAAAATCGCATTAAGTTAGTTCATATTTATAATTATGTGTATTATATTATTTTTAGTTAAATTAAAATTTAAATTGAATAAAAAATTTATTTATACTTCATTTGAGTTTTCAATTGTTTAAAATTTGAATTGATTTTAATCTATGTTATTTTAGTTATATTTTTATGTCATTGGTAATAAATTTTCAAATAGAATGAGAACACAATATAATAAAAATTTAAATGAAAAAATGATGGAGGTACTAATAATAATTCTAGAAGAAAATCTTTATATCCAAGTCTTACATAAATTAAAAGATAAATCTTCTTTTGAGGATTTTGAATTTCATATTACAGAAATATTAATCTAGATCAGCGAGTTTATAATCGTTCATTTATTGATTAAGTTGTTATTATATAGGTCGAGTGAAACAATTCAAACAATTCATTTGAAAGAAATATCATAATTCATACCCATTTAGGAAAACAACATAAAGCTTAACGTTATTTAAATTGTTATGACTTCTTACAAAATTTTTTATTATTTCCCAATGGAAAAGTTGTTTGGTATCCAAAAAAAAAAAAGTCATTTTGAATGACAGTAATAACAATAAAACAACAATTAAAAACACACCTTTTTTTTGTTTAGTAGAAGAAACTTTTTATAGAGAATGCAAAGATAATTATTTTGAATTTAATATTTTTTAAAATTATGGTTTGTTTAATTTTTATAAATTTTATTTAGTGAATTTGTTCTCATTAATTTTATCACATATATAGCAAAATTTTTACTCTAAATTATATACTTAAAGATAGAATCATAAGACAAATTTATTACTTACACTGGTGACAAAATACTTCAAAATTTTTAATCTTTTATATGCAATTATATTTCACTAATAGATATGAAAACATATATACTAATAATTCAATCAAATCATTAATAAAACTTATTTTAATATCTACGATTTTATCATGAACTAAAAAATTTGAAGAATATTTTAGAAATGTTAATTTAATATATATTATATATTTATTTAATTTAGTTTTAATACTTGCATTAGTATCAAAAGTTATGACTTTAACTTATTATTACATGTTAAACTACTGATAGTAAACTATAAACATTTACTCATGCTTTTCAAGTCATTTACATTTAAACTTTTTTTTTTTTACCTTACGAATTACATCATCTAGCATACAT